CCTTTTCGGAAGCCCTGAACTCAGTATATTAGCTATACCAGCATGCCCTTTCTGGAAGTTGTTTTTGTCTTGGCTCTCTAATTTTCTTTGATGCTTAAGACTACATTTGAGACTTTTCCTCAATTCCTTGCCTGTCTTTCATTTGTTTTGAAATGCACAATTTGATTTCCTTAGAGCTTTATGAAATTAAATCTATGCCACAGCGTAGGCATTTCATAGAATTGACAATAGCCTGAACAAATACCTACCGCTTGTGGGTACAACGTGGGTATGTTTTACTTTCTCTCCAAATGTGGGATACCAGCTTGATAGGCTTATAGTCATACCTGATATTGCATGCTTTAAACAACATGCTTGAAATAAACTTAGTGAAGTTACTTTGTGCATCAGGTAAGTCTTTCAGAAAGCTCTTGATCTTCATGCTTCTTTCCCTCAGCAAATCACCAAAGATTACATTTCTTTCTGGGAGCAAGAATAACTTTCACATAAAGTTTTAGACTTCAAGAATATGATGCATTTCTGCTCTTAAGAAAATAATATATAGGTTTTTCTGAAATCAAGGCCGTAAGTCTTCTACCTGAAGTCAGGAGCAATATTTGGGTGGTATCTCTTGTTGGCTATTGGATGAAGAGTTCTGTGAAGAATGCAGTTAGCAGCTGCTGGTTTCAGTCTAAGCTAGGTTCCCAGTGTTGTTTGTCCTCGAGATTACTGTCTGGAAACAAGAAAATTTTGTTTCTTAGAGGCACCTTTTTTTTTTTTTCCTTCAGATGTTACAGGTTGTACATAAAGATTTTTTCATTGCATTATCTGTTTTTCTCAGCAAGAAACATTAGAACTACTTCAAGTTACTAACTTTTCTAATGATATTGTTTCAAGATTGAAATTGGGTCCCTTTAAAGTTGATTTGCATGATATGATTGCTAAGTTTGTGTAGGGACAATGTGGTGAGAACTTCTAGAGCCTGTTTGTCCTAGGATCTTAGGAAAATTGACCAAAAAAAGCAAATGCTTGATTGAGCGGGAGAATCCTGGTGATATGTATACAAAATTCCAGCCTCTGTGTATCATCTAAACAGCATCTCCCATTTGTTTTCAGCATAATAATTTGAGTGATCTAAGTGGAGTTGTCACGTTAGAAGGTTGCTAGACTGTGCTTTAGCTCCATTAAATACTTGGAGTGACTTTCTTGCAGCAGTTCAGGTACCTTGGTCCTGCAAGGACATGGAGTGTATATTTGGGGTTTTTGTAATAGGGTAATAAAAATGCTGGAGCCCCATCTAGTGCATGAACATTTAATGCTGCTAGAGAAGTTATAAACTGTGTCAGAGCAGAGGGGATGGAAGGCAATCCCATTAGTGAGAGAATTTTACCCTTTTTGTAAAATAACTTGTATTGCTACATCAATAACAGATTGGAAGAGAAAAATGTAAAAAGTAGTGGTCAAATGCAGGTTTATTTGGGGAGGGTGATTCTGTAAAGGTTAATCTTACTGTGCCTTAAAGGGACCACATGTATTAAAAGATTTAACTGTGTTAGAACTCAAGTATGAGCAGTCCAACTGAAGGCTAATTACTGTCTGAAAAATCACTGTGAGACCAGGACATGTTTAGCACATTTAGGTTAGATACATCTGATTAAATCCAAACACATGTGACCTTGCCCTGTTGCTTGTTTCCATAATAAAAAAAGTTAATAAACAGAAAGACTAGGACTTTCGGGTTTGATTATGCAATTTAAGATTGTGGGTAAAATCTTGACTCCATGGAAAGTCAGCAAGACTGTTTTCATTGGTTTAATTTGCATCAGCTTTCACCCTTGGATTTTGAGATTAATTTTCCTCAGAGAGCTAGGATTAGCTGTCCCTGTGAACTTGAACTTCCCTGCAAAGGTTTGGAAGGAAATCCTCTTAGAAAACCAGCACTGTAAGTATAATGGGTCGGCAGTAGTCTCCCTTCGCCACCAGAGAAGAGGGAAGTTGCCACAGCCCATTTTAAAATAAAATAAATACTGTGCACTTTTTTAACTTCTTGAAAGGTGGGGAAATACTGGGTTTAGGCAATGTGCATTTTTTTATGCATAAATGTTTCATTAGAAAAAAGAGCAGTTTTCTTCTAAACAATTCACCTTGACTGGTTTAAGTCATTTGCTTTCCATGATTAGGTACATATTCAGGAATAACAAGGTTTTGTAAAAGAAGAAAATCTGAAATACTAGTGTTATTTTAGGAAATTCAATGCATCACCATTTCTAGCAGTATAGAAGGCTACACCTGTATAAAATTCAGACTTCATTAGTATTTTTGGCAATGATGCACCTGAATTTCAGTATGAGTATCAAATGGAAATCATTGGTTTATTAATGAACATGTTATGCATGCATGTGTTAACTGCTTTACTGGATAAAAAGCTAATTAGGGCTAATGACCTACATTTTTCTTCACAATTCAAGTCTATCTTGACCAGACCATGGTCAGAAATGGGCATAACACTGCATTTTGTAAGGCCCATGGATTTATAGAAGAACTAAGAATATTACAAGCCTGCTGGTGATGATATCACCGAAAGTACAGTGTATTAAAATGTATTTATCTTTTTCAGTGATAGTAACTAAAATCAGCTATAGGGGATTTTGAATAACAAAAACATACTATGATGTTTTTCTCCCCTAAGAATTAGTGTCTTATGTAGATCTGTGCTAGTACTACAAGGGTTTTTTTCAGCATTTTGTGCAGCCTATGATAACTTTTTCTACAGAAAAGAAGTTTTCATTGTAAACTTGGAAGCTTTTTTAATGTAATCTCTGAATTACAAGAAATTCTTCCCTGTCTTCTGGATTTAGGAATCATCCATGTCTCTGTAAAGTTTTAAATAGTATAAGTACAGTTGTGCTATGCCCTCAAAAGAGCATCTTTTCAGCTTAGTTTTGAATTAAAATGCAAAAATAAAAAAATTACTTAACTCAAACTGATGTGTCATGAGGACGAATAAAATTGTGCAAGCAAATAAAGAATGTTTTTACTATAACCTGAAGAAATTAAATTATTTCTATTGACCTCATCAAATTCTTGTATCTGCTAGAATGCTTTAAAATCACGATCGTTTAATTAATGAGTTTCTGTTTAAAAACATAACTGTAAAAATAATAAAAAGGAAACTTAAGATCATGTCAGTATTGCACATTAAACAACTTTTATTGTCTAGTTATGCTTCAACATATAAATACAGTAGTACCTTGTAATGGAGTACTTATTTAATCAAAAATACTGTGTCAGGTAGTATTGACCTTGAGGTCAAAATCAGTTTTATTGATTGTTACTGGGGCCACGCAGTAATCCGTGCTTCCCCGTGCAGATCGTAGGACCTGGCCCAGCATCACAGGAACATTGCAGGGCTTGGTTTAGATCCAACACAAGCAAGGGTCTGTACCTCATCAGGGTCTGCTAGGCTGCTTCGAAGTCGCTATTTCTTCAGTATTCACCACTTCTAAGTGTCCCTTACAAGAATGGAGCTTCACACCCTGATTCCATCGTTCTCGGCTATTGCTGCCCTCCTTCCACCCTCTTCTCCAAGAGAGTTTGCTGAAGTCCAGTTGTTTCAGTGGTCAAGTTTACAGTGGTGTCCCACAAATACCTTTTATTGATGCGTATTTATAAAGTGGGTAAGCACATTGCAGATGGGAACTTCTTAAGCTACATTTGCTGCCAAATCTACTATATTGTATAATTACACCTTTGCTAGCACAGCTATGGTGTTGCTAATTTGGATACCTTGCTAGGTAGGAAGCTTTCTAGTTACCCCCTTGGAAAATGTGTAGTTTGTAGGCTGTGTAAATATGTCTGCAAACCTGGCAGAAATTGTAATTGTGAGTGATATTTCTGACAATATGAGCTTAAATACAAGTCATGGATCTTTTGGTAACCTGTCATCCAGCCCTTTGCTTGTCCAACATGAAAGTGAGAGGGACAACTTAAAACACAGTTGCGCAGGTGACTGTGACTTTGAAATGTAGTTTCATTCATATATTGGAAAATAATTTGGTTTACTTTCCTATTGTTCTTGCTGTTCTGCCTGACCAAGGGTAATAATTCAGGGTTTTTTCACTTTTGTGGTTTGATTTGATTGTGATTACACAAGAACAGATAAACTGAGAAAAACGTACCTCTCTTACATGTTCAACTTGCTCAGCTGTGGGTGCATTTAAAGGAGAAAATTGGACTTTAATGATTTAGCCTAATCAGCCCTTTAGTTGCTGGAAAAATGAATACCGATGTCCTAAAATAAAAGGAAAGCAAGCAAACAACACCCAAAATTCTGCCACTTGTACCAAAGGAGGCTGGAAACTAATTTTATGCAAGAAGCAAACTTCAAGAGGTGTAAAAGTAACGCTGGGAGTTAGATTTTCAAGCTTAGAAACAGCAAGAGCTGTGAAATACTATTCTAACTGTGCTCCATTGTATCACAGCATTTAAGAGATCTTGGAGTGATGATTGAACTTATTTCTACCATATGCCGAGCTCTAATGACAGAGCTGCTGTTGCTTAAGTAAATGTGCGGGTTCTATATTAGGTTGTAGAATTTCTGCAGCACTTGTGGAGATACTTTTTGTTATTACAGAAATTCTAAAAAATTCAGGAAAATTGTAAAGATAACTTGTCCAAGTTTTACCATCCTGCACCAGTAGTCATAATTGTCTTTAATGTATTCTCTATGAACTCTTAGGGGGTATGATCGCGTAAGAGTTTTGGGATCAAGGTAGCTGTCAGCATTTGAGAATTGGGTTTGGGTGGTTTCTTTAATTCAAACTTATTGGCTACGGATGCTGTTTGTAATTAACTATCTTTTTGCTATGTGTCATTTTAGGAGAAAGAGAAGGGGGAAAAGTTGTTTATTTGAAATGTATTAATACAAATTTGAAACTTGCTATAGATTGCCATCAAGGACAGTTCTGTGCATACACCGTGGGTCATATGAAAAATTTAATGCATTGTATTTCCATGTTTAGATATTGCAAATGGCTCCAGTTCAGGAGGATACCGCCCCCCTCCCAGAACAAAAGAAGTAATCATCAATGGACAGACAGTGAAACTAAAATACTGTTTTACTTGCAAGATTTTCCGCCCACCTCGTGCCTCACATTGCAGCCTTTGTGATAACTGCGTAGGTGAGTAAAAAAAGATATGGCATATGTTCAGTTTGGTGGCTCATATATTGTTATGAATACTTTTGATACATGAGAGGAAAGAATCAGAGTTAGTGACAGATTACTCATGAGGTCACTTGCTGTGTTCATCCTTCTTTCCTACAAGCTCTGTTAAATGTTAGCAATTTTAGAGGAGGCAGAAGAGGAGATTTCGCCTAATAGATAGTTGTTGCTAATCTAAGGAGGAGAAATATCTTCTGATGCATATCTTTCCTAACCTGCTCTGCAGGACAAAGAACACACCCAGTTTGAATAGGGCTGCATAGTATGTGTGATGAACTTTCCAGTGCGGAGAACCAAGCTTTATGGGACTCTCAGAATTGTTTCCTTCACCAAACTAAATTGAGGGCAAGGAGCTGCTTCTCCGGTTCATTACAGCCTAGCTGTAAGGCACAGTTCAAGTGGTTAGGGCTTGCATTGCGACCAGAATACACACTGTAGGTGATGCTTACCTTGGAACAGTTTTAAGAGTTGAAATTTAAAGTCAGAATCCATAAAAAAATTACTGGGCAAGCATGCTATTTTGAGAGTAAGTAGATGTCAGGACCTAAGGATATTTTGTAATTATAGTTTGATTTTGTTTTTTTGTTTTTTTTTTTTTTTTTTCCTCTGAAGATCTTGACTTTTTTCATGACCATTTTCTTTGGAGGGCAGACAAGGTGATTAAGGTATGCTTGGATTTAAAAGCAAACCAAAAAAACCCACCAATCAAACCTGAGTAGTTTCTAGTTAATTAGATCACATTTAGAGTTTAGTGCAGCTGATTAGCACACTGTTGAGCCTGGATCTTATGCATTCAAGAAAATAATGTAGAAAGATGTCTCCAGCTGAGAAATGTAATTGCTGCATTCAGCAGTGATATTTTTAGATATAAAGCAGTCATTGGAAGAATTGCAGTTTCATGTTTAGATGATATTCATTCAGGGAGTACACTTACTTCAGAGTGAACAGTTTAGCCTTTTGGCTGTGTACAATTGACTGGTACCTGTAGATTGTTCCTTCAGTAAATATGTTTTTCTGATGTGTTAGAATTTTGTGAGTATTGTAAAAGCTATTGAGCTTGACAAGTAGGGATGTTTATGAATTGCAGTTGACACATTTTCAGAAAAATATTGTATCAAATGTGTAACCTGGACATTACAGTGTTGTGGTTTTGCGCAGCAGACCTGATAATATGAAAATGCAGTTCTTGACCAGTGCAGTGAAGTTAAAGGCTGCTGTCTTTACTGAGAGTGCATAAATAAGGGCAATTCCCACACACGCATCCTGAAGCTTTTTTTAAAACAATGTTTCAGTTTTTTTAATAAACTGATATGAAGGATTTTTCTACAGGTTATTCTGTAATCTGATTTTGTCCCTTTCATACTGAATTTGGAAAACCTACTCTGTGAAACATGCAATTAGTGATGGTGGGGAAACAACTTACACAGTCTTTGTCTTCTGATTATGTCTGTGATGAAGCAACAGATGTGAATTATTATGAATGCATATCAGAAAAGAGTCTGAGCAAAGGACTTATGTAAGTGATAATTATATCCAAGAAGATTAGTCTTTTCTGCTCATAAAATACGTATGATCCTTGTAATTTCCTCTTGAACATTTTTTAATTTGAGATTATTTGTTTTAAAATAATTCCATCCATTTATTAGAATGAATTTGCTGTGGTTTTTCTCCTCAGTATTTGTAATGGAATTACAATAAACTATGACTTTTTCAGAGTACATTGCATAGTACTTTTGTTTCCTGATCAGGTACAGGTATTTATCATATAAATATTCAGGTGTATTGAATGCAAAAAGTGAAATCTACAGGTACCTACAACTAGTTATATGTGAAAAATAGGTGTCAAGAAAATCGGATTGCTCACATACTTGTGAAAACTAGCAGTCTAAGAACATAAACTTAATCAGATTGTCTTATGCAGTTTACCACCACTCTTAAGTTAGGATTGTCTAGATGATGATGCTTTTGTTTAATTTTAGTTTGTGAATAAATCTTGTAATAGCAATGAGTATTCTTGTGCTACTATCCCTTGCTAGTTCCTTGCTGATGTAACTAAACCAATGCAAAAATATTCCTATTTCACGCACATACGGATATTTACGTAATTTACGCTTACAACTCACTACCACTATGACTAGGCGTTCCTTTTTACCACGTAGTTCCTGAAGCTTTTGCTACATAGTTATAAATTAACCACAGAGACTCTGTGATACAGGAATAGAGTCTGTCTTCAAACCAGCACCCACTGCTCAGAAAAAAACTTACGCTACTTTTACCTAAAGGTGTTTTATGATACTGGTTGAATGAATGCAGTGTGAAAGAGAGGTTCTTTCATTCTGTATTTTCTATTGATGCTTTTCATTTTGTAAGGAATCCTTACAACATTTTAAATATGTAAATTTAAATATGTAAATACAAAAATGTATTCATTGTTGGTTTTTTCCCTCCTTTGAATTAATCCTAACTTTCTACTTGTCTAGTAAGCATATCTGTTACTTGATTTTGTTTCTGATTTTCATTTCATCACTGATTTTTTTTTTATAAATGGCTACATAGTATATTTAGGTAAAAATATGAAGAAATAGCTTTTAAAAAAAAAAACCAACCTAATTTGAGTCAAACTCCTTTAGCTTTACAGTATTTTCATAGTAGTATCCAGAAATATCTGGGTTTTCATGCACATGTTGTTTGTTGCATTTATGTAATACCTTCAAATGTTTGGTTGAATAAGTGTTCCCTGAGGCAAATATCTTGGGTGTATTCCTGACTTGCTTTCTTTGACTGCCTTTGTGAATAGCAGTTGGAAGTTAGCCCATCAAGGGTTTTCTGTGTACCATTATGGTGCTTAAAAATTATAAATGGATTTAAAATAATGTCCACATAAACACAAGTGATAAAGACTTTAAAAAAAGAATAACCACAGCAGACACAAATTCTGAGCTCAAGCTAGCTATTGCCGGATTTTGACAAGAGGTTTTGATGCTAGTGATGCTAGTAAGAAGCCAGTGGTTGGGCTTGCTTCTGAAATGACCAAATAACTTTTTTTTTTTCATTTATTTTTGGTCATTTCAACATCAACTGAGTAATTTCCTCTTTTGTTTGATTTTAATAAATAACTTTTACCTTGTTTAATTTGATTTCTATAATAAAAGCTGAACAAGATGCAGCTATTTCCAAACAATTTATTTAAATATAGTACCAAGTGGCTGACGAGAAACAGTGAAAAAATTATTACCAAGCAGTAAATCAGCTTGGTCCAATAATCTAAATGACTAAAGCCTTCCTTGCATTCACATGCCACATTTTTGCTTATCAAGCTAACTAACTGATTTAGACTAAGGCAAAAATAAAGTATGGTGGAAGAAGAGATCTACTTCTAAGAGAATATAGCCTTTTTATCTGTTTCAAAGTCTGTATATCGTAAACTTGTGTGTGACTGATAGCTTATCTTCTCCAGTACCACTGTGTTTCAACACATGATTTTTTTCCCACAGAGGATTCAAAGCTCAAATTTTTGAAATTCGTTGTCACAACTTTGAAAAATCAAACTAAATGTTTCAGAGATGACTGATGAAGGTGAGAATGGCATACTAAGTTAGACCAAAGTTTCGGTTCGTGCAGTAGCCCATTTCCCCCGTGGCCAGAGTGGATCCCTGGGGAAGAATGGGAGAAGAGGGTGAGCACCTGGGGATGCTT